TAACAGGATCCGTAACACCACAAACTATGGTAATAAGTGTTTTTGGATTGTATCTTGTATTATACATTTAACAGCGTCTACCGTCAACTTAAAACATAATAGCACGAAACCGAAGGATTAGAGGACATATTTATGTGAACATTTATACTTCTTTTTAGCGTGAGGAACCCGTTCCCAAAGTTTGATACATCCTATCTCTCTCTCTTCATATATATATATATATATATATATATATATATATACACACACACATATATATATATATATATATATATATATATATATATATATATATATATATATATATATATATATATATATATTAAAAGCCGTTGGTGTCAGTCAACTCTGAGTAGATTTATTTTTTTTATTTTTTATCTCTACTACCTCGTATACAGCTTTGTGATGTTATTGCCTTTGAGATGATGGGTGATATTATATATGGACCTGGTCCAAGCGCGCGCGCACACACACACACACACACACACACACACACATATATATATATATATATATATATATATCATTGAAAACGGTCGACACATAAGATTTAATTAGTCTTTGATTCTGTTTTTCGTTTTTCAAGGGTTAAAGAATATAAATTTTTTTCAAATCACATAGTCGTAGACAACTCATTGAAGCATTGCTGTTTAAATACCATTCTTCTTACATTATTTAGCAGTGGAGACGGGGTGTTAAAAGTTTTTCTAAAAATAGAAGTGATACCCAGATCAACCGGCTGCGCATAGCACTTGACCGCCAAATAAGCATAAACCCCCCACCCCACCCAGCACGTACTTCACACAGCTAAACTACTATGTAGAAGTCAACACACATAAATTCGTCATTCCAAAATAATATCCTTGATAATGGCAATTTCTATATACTTTAACCACTGAAAAATAGAAAAAAAATTTTAGAATGCTGGAAAGCTCAATAAAAAATTAATTAAATCTTCCTTGTCGGCCGTTTTCAATAAAAGAGGCTTGAAAAAAAGATGGCTGCCCAAATATACATTATATATTCTTACGACCCTCCCCCTTTTTCCAACACTAGCCGTAGTAGAGGAGGATCGCAATCTGTGTATTTTTTTTTAACATTTTACATTTTACTCAATTTTTGTAAAATATATTTCTTTCCCAAGGGTCTCTTTCCGATTGATCAGACACGGCCGAGCGGAATCGATTAAGGAACAAATACGATAGGCGACAAACAACCATCGAGACAGGAATTATAAATTTATTAACAAACGTAAAAATGTGGGAAAGGCAAAACAAAAAAAAAAAACGGGCAAAAAACAAAAATGTCAATGTTTCGAGAATAAACATTTAAATATTGTGGACAAAATAGTGGGAGGAGAACATCCTCTAAGAAAGGTAAAACACAAATCAACGTATGGCCATACTTACACGAATTTACAGAACATGTGCCATACTTGCACGAATTTACAAAACATCAAAATTTTAAGACAAGTAGAGAGAAACATGTAATAAAATGCAATCTCATGCTAAATTGCATAAAAGTACAAACATGAAAAAGAAGTACATTTAAACAAAAATGAAGCACAAGAAAAACAACAAACTTATCTCATAGTAAAAGTTCTTTTCCACTAATGTCTCTTATATCTACTTCTTCCTTTCTTTTCTCTTTTTCCTTTTCTATTTCTTTTTATAAGCGTCTCCTTTTGAGGTCTTTTATTACTTCCTCTCTTTCTCTTTTCGTCGTCTAGGGGCTTGGCCGGTGATTAAGCTGAAAACGCCTTCCCTCTCTCTTTCGTCTTGGCTTTAGCAGTATTGAGGTGATCTGTTCTTTCTTTCTTTCTTTCTTTTCCCTTTCGTCCTTTGTTTAAGGGCTTGGTGACAGTTGAAACTGCTTTCTTTCTCTTTCCCCTTCATCTCGGTGACAGTTGAAACTGCTTTCTTTCTCTTTCCCCTTCATCTCGGTGTGACATCCTTCGAGATATTTTCTTCCTCTCTTTCCTTTTCCCATAAGTATCTCCTTTTGAGATCTTTCCTCGTTTTCTTCTTTTTCTATAAGCTGTCTTCTGTCTCTCTTTCACCTCGATGTAGCGGCATTTCGCATACGTCGTCAAACTGATCCATCTATTCCACTCGGTGATGAATTCTCCTCGCAATTTCGCGAACACGTCTTCTCAGTCTTTAGACCTGGACGCAACTCTTGTATTTTCCGCAAACACGTCTCTTCAGTCTTTAGACCTGTACAAATTTAGTGGACACGTATCTTTTCAGTCTTTTCGCCAACATGTCTTTTCGGCCCATATGCCTAGACAAATTTCGCGAACACGTCTTTTCGGCCTGCAGGCCTAGACAAATTTCGCGAGCACGTCTTTTCGGCCCGCAGGCCTGGACGAAACTTCGCGAGCACGTCTTTTCGGCCCGTAGGCCGAGACGAAACAGACTTTTCTGTTTAACTATTCCTTTCCTTTCTTTTCTTGTCACGTGGTCAATTTTCAAATACGAACTCTTTCCCATTATGGGTGAAATGAGGTCATTGACCTTCTCTCTCTTCTGCAGGGTCAGGGAAAGTTTATTTTAAAGTGTTTCAACTTCTCCTCTCTGGAATCTATACGTGCAAATCATGCTGTCAATACGTTGACCAAAAGAGAAGGAAAGGGTACATTCTGGTTAATCTTTGTCGCCACTAAGTCTACCTATCTCTTTGGGTTTCACTGTCTTTACGTTTCTGTACATACTAGGCTCTTTGTTTTAGAGTGCTTCTAAAATATAAGCAATGTTATAGCTTTTATAATAAATTTAGATGTGGGT